GGATACGCATTTGGCAAAGGCCACCTGGTTAGTCAATACTAGGGGATCTACCAACTGAGCTGGACCTGCCCAATCAAACCTGTTACGTACTGTAGATGGGGATAAAGTTCCTGTAGTGCATGTAAAAAATATGCTGTAAAACAGTCTGGGCTACTCCTGCCTCAGGAAAAGGCAAACCTATTCGTGGAATTGTTTTCGCTCAGGGACCTGGATACACTTGGTGGGTGATGCAAAAGAACGGAGAGGTGCGTGTGTACCTCAAGGAGATTTAATATGGGTGAGAATAGCCCATGAACTGAATAGTACCATGTTAATTAGTATATTATACTGTATGTTATCACTACCATGATTACTATAGGTGACTAATTAGAATGTATGGAAAAGAGTGTAACCTGAGCATGACATAAATGGTATGGAATAAGGGGTGGATAGATGTCCTGGTTTCAGTTAGCACAGAATTAATTTTCTTCCTAGTAGCTGGTGGAATGCTGTGTTTTGGCTTAGGATGAGAAGAGTGCTGATAACAGCCCGATGTTTTAATTGTTGCAGAGCAGTGCTTATACCAAGCCAAGGACGTCTCAGCCTTTTGCTCTGTCCTGCCAACGGGCAGGCTGGGGGTGCAGTAAGAGCTGGGAGGGGACAGACCCGGGACAGGTGACCCAAACTAGCCAAAGGGGTATTCCATACCATCTGACGTCATGCTAAACAATATATAGGGGTGGCTAGCCGGGGGGAGGGGGCCGGACTGCTCGGGGTTAGGCTGGGCATCGGTCAGCGAGTGGTGAGCAATTGCATTGTGCATCACTTGTTTGTACATATTATTATTACTTTCCTATTATCACCATTGTATCATTATTTTATTATTGTTATTATTTTTTTATTATTATTATTTTCCTGTCTTATTAAACTGTCTTTATCTCAACTCACGGGCTTCACTTTCCATTTCTCTCCCCCGTCCCAGAGAGGGAGGGTGGAGGGTGAGCGAATGGCTGCGTGGTGTTTAGCTGCCGGCCGGGTTAAACCACGACATATGATAGGCAGGGACATGTTCCAATAGCTATATGTGCTTACGAGGTCACTGTCAGCTGAAGATCTGATAGGCCATGAGCAGGCCCATGGCAGGTGAATGTTCTGTGATAACAGTGGTGCCTGAGTAGTTGACAGGCCGAGAGCAAGGATGGCCTGTGCTAGACGCTATGAGGACCCTGGTTCCTGAGAAGCTTGCGGGTCAGGAATAAGCACATGGCTAGTGTGGGTCTTTGGGAGCTTATGATGTAACGTCAGATATGGCACCCCATGCTTGATTTCTCCTGAAATCCAACAGAAACCCTAGGCACCTGTCTACTGGTGCATCACACTACTTCATAGGGAAGAAACCAAACAGGTGTCTATGTGGTGCTCAGGTCAGTGGTGCCTGTGGAGCTGACAGACCAGCAGCAGGCCCACAGCTCTCGTAAGAGCTTGTGAGGTCACTGTTGCCTGAGAAGATGACAGGCAGGATGGAGACCCATGCCTGGGGAATGTACTTGTGATGCCACTCTTGGCTGAGTAGCCGACAGGGCAGGAGCAGGTGCACGGCCAGATAAGTTCTTGGGAGGTCACTGGAGCCTGACTACTTCCATGGAGAGTATGCATCAGCTGCACGGATATCAGAGAATCACAGAGTCATAGAATGGTTTGGGTTGTAAGAACCCTAGTGACCATCTAGTCCACACCCCCTGCTACAGGTAGGGACACCTTCCATTAGGCTACACGTGCTTATGAGGTCATGGTCAGCTGAGGAGTTGATAGGCCAGGAGCAGTCCCCTGGCCTGTGGGTGTCATTTGGATGCCAGTGGTGCCTGTGTAACTAACTGGCTGAGAGCAAACATGGCCTGTGCTAGATGCTGGGAGGACCCTGGTGCCTGAGAAGCCAGGAGGCCAGGAATAAGCACATGGCTGGTGTGGGTCTGTGGGGAGGTCATTGGTGATCAATTAGCTGATAGGTCAGGGCAAGGCCCACGGATTGTACAGGTACTTGTGAGGTCACTGGTACCTGACGAGGTGCAGGCCTGGAACAGGCCAAGAACTTGTGTAGGTGTTTGTGAGGTCATTGCTGCCTGAACACAGGCCAGGAGCAGGCCCATGGCAGGTGAATATGCTATGGCATCACCTGGAGCTGTGTTGGGTAGAATCATGAAATAGCCCGAGTTGGAAAGAATCAAGGGTCAGTGAGTCAAACTCCAGCCCAGACAACAAAATAAATTTATGTATCTAAAAAACTATACAAACTGTAAATATATATTAAAAATTTTAAAATATATAATGTATATATTCATAAAAACCAAACCTTTTACTATGTATAATACATGTAAAATTAATGTAATGAAAAATAAAATAAAATAAAATAAAATAAAATAAATATATAATATAATTAATATAATATATTACACTGTAATATAACATAATACTGTATAATATACTGGAATACTTTATGTAATATAAATATATATCAAATAAAAATAATCTATAATATAATATCGGTAATTATATATTATATAATATGAACTATATAATAATACATACAATATGTAAGAATAATGTTTAATCTAATAAAATAAATAAAAATATAATATAATAATGTATAAGTAATATATATATTGTATATATTCAGAAAAATGTGTGTTCTATTAAAAATATAATATATATGTGTGTGTGTATTTATATATATATATACATATATACATATATATACATATATATACATATATATATATATATATATATATATATATTATATAGTAAACTATATGTCTGAGAGTATTGTCCCAAAACTTCTTGGACCTGCCAGGCTTGGAGCTATGAGGAGGCTGGGAGGCACCGCAGGGCCATGCCTGGGCACGGGGCCAGGAGGAAACCACCGTCTTCCTGCCCGGGCGCCATGTCACGTGGGCTGCGGTTTGTGCACCTGCAGTGGCAGGCAGGCTCCAGCTCCCGACCCGCCGCGGGGAATAACGGCCCCTGGGTGACACGCTGAGAGCCAGGGAGACGCCTGAGGCTCTGGGCTGCAGCTCTGCTGCCAGGGCAGGCCCTGGACCAGCTCTGGCTGCTGCCGGGACCCCACAGGAGGCTCCCTGGGGAGGGACGGGACAGCCAGCACCCCATCATGGGGCTCTGGCCCTGCCCAAGGGCCTTTCCCAGCTGCTGCTGCCAGCACAGCAGGGGCTGTAGCAGGGGCAGGGGCTGCTCCCTTCCCAGCCTGACACAGCCCTGCTGCAGGACCAGTCCCCTGGATCCCATGGCACAAGGATGCTGGACAATCGCACCTTGGGCTCTTGGATGCTACAGCTTAGGAGATGCTCCGTGCTCCCACAGCAGGCTGCAGGGGTGTCAGAGCCATCTGCCCCCCACACCCAGCCCTACCCCACGATGATGTCCCACCGCAGTGACGTGAGACCGCAGTGGAGCCGTCCCTCATATATGGTCATGAAGAGCTGGAGAAGTTCATTGGAGAGCTGGGCTGCGTCGGAGGGGAGATAAGTGCCGATAACGTCTAAAAAGGTGCCTGCTGCTTCGATTGGCTCCTCCTGCAGCTGGGAGCATCTGCACAGATATATTGCCCTCCCAATCCTCATGCACTTGGGTCCCCAGGAGCTCCAGCAGCAGGGCCGTGTTGTCAGGGCAGGAGCCTCAGGATGGGGACAGAGGGACTCCTGTCCCCTTGGGTGCTGTGGCTGTTCCTCTGGGTGCAGCCATGCAGAGGTAAGTGCCAGCTTCTCTGTTCCGTAGCCTGGGGCCAGTGGGCAGCAGTGGGTTCATTGGGATCCCTCTGCGAGTGGGGTTGCTTTGCAGGTACCACTGAAATGAGGGGTAGAATGTTCTCAGTCCCTCAGCCTGTGCCTGTCATGGATGGGAGAGTGTAATCCATTTCCACAGCTCCCATGTTTTTGGCAGCCCATGTCCAGTTGCATTTCTAGACACCTTGTCCTCAGGTACCCTTTTGGGACCCCTTGTTCCCCAGCACCAAACCTCTGGAGCTGGAGGAGGCCCAGGTGCTGACAGCCAATGCCTGGGGTGTCCTGGAGATGTTGCGTGCTGCTCCCTGGCCCTGGGTTCTGGGTAGACCCTGATCCTAGGAGGGGAGGTTGTACCCCCAGACAAAAGGTGACTGGGGCTTCTGCACCAAAGGTGGCAGAGAGGTATCCTTCCTGGGAGGCCTGGCCAAGGTTAGAAGCTGGGCTGACAGCAGGAATGAGGAGAGGACACAGGTTGGGGGGGTACCTTGAGATTGACTTGGTGCCCCCTGTACAGACTGGGAGCCCTAGGTGTTTTGGTGCATTTTGGAGGAGCCTGGGGCAGTTGGGCCAGGGGAAAGTATTGGTCAGGGAACATGAGGCTGTTCAAGGGGTGCTGGACTGGGGAGGAACAGGAGCCTTGTGCAGGGCTGGGGGAGGTATGCAAGTGGGCATGGGCAGGGGCAGGGAGCCACTGGGGTGGGAGAAGTGCTGAGGGCTGTGGGGGCAGATGGCTGAGGAGGACTGGAGCTGGGCACTCCCAGCCCAGCGCAGCAATGGGGACATCCCACTGCCCCAGGGACAGCCCATGGGAGCAGGGTTCCCACCTTGGGGTCTGTGACTGTGCCTGATCCAGGGACAATCTGAGACCCTCACTGTGGGGATCAAAGCTCTCCTGACCGTTCCCCTGTTGATGTTTGAAGGGGCTGCGGAGGTGAGGCTGGCGGATGGCGGCAGTCGCTGTGCTGGAAGAGTGGAGGTGAAACAACAGGGCCAGTGGGGGACCGTGTGTGGTTTTGTGGGACAAGAAAGATGCTGCAGTGGTTTGCAAGCACCTGGGCTGTGGGGTGCTCTTGCAGCTCCTCAGTACGGACACTTTGGGCCAGGATCTGGGCCCATTTGGATGTTTGCTGTTGATTGTCGTGGCACCGAGTCTGCCCTGTCTGACTGCAGTCACAGAGGACGCGGTGAATCCTACTGTTCTCACGATTTGGATGCTGGAGTGATATGTTCAGGTAATCGCTCAGCCCATTCCCCATGTTTTGGGGATGGGAAAGGGGAAAAGGGTAACACCTCTTAGGTCAGGGCACTGATAAGCTTGGTCTGTCACTGTTGTTATCCCACATCCCAAGGCAAAGCCCAGTGGAGCCCAGCCCAGATACCCAAACCCAGACTGTCCTTGAGCTGGAGAAGTCAACCCTGGGGAGGTGCCTGGGGCTGGGAGAGGAAAGCCCTCACCCTTCCCCACTGTGCTGCCTGGTTCCCATCTTTCTCCTCCATTCACCCAGGCCCTGTCTGGCAGGCTGGTCCCTATGCCAGGGGAATCTAGAGCAGCTCCCCCAGCCACCAGCAGCCTCAGGGAAGGGCGTGCAATGGCCCAGGACTTTTGGGTTGTACCCCCAGCAGACAAGAGAACCTCAGCCAAAGCAGAGGGGCTGCTCAGAGGGCAGGAGCACTGGGCTTGCAGAGGAGCAGGGTGGCAAGTGGCACCTTGTTCTGTCCCGGGGTCACCCATGAGAGCCAGCCCCTGGAGACAGGCCCCTCCAGGCCTGCTGACCCACTGCTCAGCCTCTCCTGCCTGCCCTGTGCCCCAGGGGCTGTGCCAGCACCTCCTGGCTCTCCTCTCTGCCTGCCCTCACACCGGGAGCTTGTGTCAACCCAGGCTGCTCTCTGCCTGCTCTCCTGCCCTCTGTCTGGCTGGTGGCTGGGGACGTGCATGCCTGGCACCACACTATCCCTCCCTGAGGACATCCCCTTTACCTGCTCCCCAGATGTGCCCCATGTAACAGCAGCTCCCCAAGAGCCCCAGCAGCCCCTGGGAAAAAGGGGCTTTTTGGCAGCTCCAAGGATTTCTTCTAACTGGCCTGAGACCAGAACCTGGCCTGGGGCAGAGCAGGCTACAGCAGCCCCAGTTCCTGGGCCCATTTCCGTGGGTCCACGTGCTGCAGGTGTTGCAGTGCTGGGTCTGGAGCCGGCAGCCCAGGGGATCCAAGAAACAGTTTATTGAGCAGTGACCTGCTGGGGGTTGGGAGAGAGGGCAGCCATGGGTGCTGGGCTGGATTCTGAGGAGCAGCAGGGGGGCTCTGATGTGTTTGTGCCATCAGCACCCACTGAGAGCTGGGCTGGCCATGGGGCTCTGCATGTGGCCACCTTAGGGATGAGGTGGGAGGTGGGCACGGAAGTGCCAGAGGGCTCTGGGAACTCACAGGTCTCCTTGGTTGCTCCAGGATTTGTCGGCTGGTCGGAGGGGACAGCCCCTGCTCAGGAAGTGTGGAGGTCTACGACAGGGACCAGTGGAAAGCTGTCTGTCACTCCCACTTTGGTGCCAAAGCTGCCGAGGTGGTGTGCAGGGAGCTGCAGTGTGGCACAGCCCTGTCTGTCCATGGGGCAGCTCAGCTGGGAGAAGGGGCCGGTCCTGTCTGGGACAGAGAGCTGCAGTGTGTGGGGAATGAATCCCATCCTCTTCTGCCCCGGGGCCCCAAGGACAAGGCCTGCACCCACAGCAATGGCACTCATGTCACCTGCACACGTAAGGACTTGGGGTGGGATGATGCACGGGGTTGTGGTGGGGGAGAGCAGGGGACTGGGCTGTGCTGGGTGGGGGACAGGTGGGGTGAGGTGGTGGTCTGCAGCCCTAAAATTAGAGTGCTGCAGGAGGAGAAAGGCACGCTGTCCCTTTGGCCTCTCCTGCAGCTCCTGTGGGAGCAAGAGCACAAATGTGGCCTCTCTCACCCTCCTTTGTCCCAGAGTACACAGGGTTCAGGCTGGTGAACGGCAGCACAGCGTGTGAGGGCAGGGTGGAGGTGGAGGTGCTGGGGACGTGGGGGACCCTCTGTGCCTCCCGCTGGGACCTCTCGGACGCCCACGTTCTGTGTCGGCACCTCGGCTGTGGCTTTGCTGAGTCCATTCCTGGAGGAGGGCATTTTGGGAGAGGAACCGGCCCCGTCTGGAGAGACTCGTTCCACTGTGACGGGACTGAAGCCCACCTGGGGCAGTGCCCGGTGACTGCCCTGGGGGCCTCGCCGTGCTCCCAGGAGAACGCTGCTGCTGTCATTTGCTCAGGTGAGTGCTGGGCAGTGCTGCAAAGTCCATTTGCCCCTGGTGTGTGACACGGCCACACAGCTTTGCACCCCATGGCAGCACCTGGCTGAATTTCTGCTCTCACCAGGCCTTCACCCATGCCCCTGCGGTTGGTGGGGAGGGAGCCGGTGCGACGGGCGCGTGGAGGTCTTCCAGCACGGGACGTGGGGCAGAGTCCTGGATGAGCAGTGGGACATGCAGGAGGCCAGCGTGGTGTGCCGGCAGCTGCAGTGCGGAGAGGCAGAGGCAGCCTACACCCCCGTGAGGGCCGAGCGAGGACGAGGACCTGTGGGGCTGCGTGGGGTGCGGTGTGCAGGGCACGAGGCTGACCTGAGCCTCTGCAACACCTCCCTGCCTGAGAGCACACCGGCAGCAGGGATCATGGAGGACGTGGGGGTCGTGTGCCGGGTGAGTGGTGCTGCACGTCCCCAGGTGCTGGTCCGGGAGGGCAGCCAGCCCCTGACGGCCGGGGTTCTCCCCGCTGCAGGGAGCCGGCGGGTCCGGCTGGTGGACGGGGCCGGGCGCTGTGCCGGGAGAGTGGAGATCTACTACCAGGGGCGCTGGGGCACCGTCTGCGACGACGCCTGGGACCTGGCCGACGCCGCCGTCGTTTGCCGCCAGCTGGGCTGCGGAGGGGCCCTGGAGGCAGCCGGCTCTGCTCGGTTTGGGGAGGGCTCCGGGCAGATCTGGCTGGATGGCGTCAACTGCTCCGGGGCTGAAGCTGCTCTCTGGGACTGCCCTGCCGAGGCCTGGGGGCAGCACGACTGCAGGCACAAGGAGGACGCGGGAGTCATCTGCTCAGGTCTGTGCTGGGAGTGGGGCTGGGAGCTGGGGCCAGTGAGGCCGGGGTGAGGGCAGAGCCAGGTAGGGCCAAGGCCATCAGTGGCTGACATCCAAGGACGTCCCTGGGGCCTTTCCTCCTTCCAGAGTTCATGGCCCTGAGGCTGGAGAACAGCGACGGCTGCTCCGGGCGCCTGCAGGTTTTCTACAACGGGACGTGGGGCAGCGTTTGCTCCAACTCCATGACCACCGAGACGGTGTCACTGGTGTGCAAGGAGCTGGGCTGCGGGAATGAAGGGGACTGGAAACAGATTCTAACTATGCCAAGCTGTCTGGCACGTGGCTGGATCACGTGGAGTGTGGGAAGAGCAACAGCTCCTTCTGGCAGTGTCCCTCTGCTTCCTGGGATCCGCAGTCGTGTACGACGCCGAGAAGAGACCAATATCACCTGCAATGGTAAATCTGAGCCATCAAGGCACCAGGTCCTGTTCCCCACTGGGCATGGTGAAATGCAGAGAAGGAACCCAGAGGGGCTTTGACTTCCTGCATTAGACCCTGTTGCTACTGGTGCACAAAGGTGACTTCAGCTCTTGGAGCCACCCATGTCCACCAGCAGCAGTCAACAGCCGGGCTGCCAGCACTCCCTGGGGGATGCAGAGGCAACTCCAGGCAAGGTCTCAGAGGAGACCATGCAGGGCTTTCAGGAGTCCCTCCTGGGACAGCCTCCTGCTGCTCTGTGAATCAGGGACCCTGTGGGGAGCACTTGGGTCCCCCCTGCACCGTGTGTGTCCCCTGAGTGAACAGGGTTCTGCTGCTGCCCTGACCCAGGCAGCATGGGGACGTGTGAGCAGAGGTCAGCTCTGCTCTCTTCTGCACGACCCCCAGAACAACCCTTTTCAGCCCAACTTCTCTTTCCTTTGGGACATGGACAGAAAGGCCGCAGGTGGCTGCATGCCCCAACTCCACCAGCTGCACAGGTAGGGAGCTGCCCCTGCACGTGCCCCCCTCACCTGGCAGGGCTGTCCCAGCTGTCCTGGTGCCATGGGACATCGCTGCCTCCCCAGACAGGGAGAAGATCCGTGCCGTGGGAGGCAAGGACGGCTGCTCGGGCAGAGTGGAGATCTGGCACCGCGGCACCTGGGGGACGCTGTGTGACAATGCCTGGGACATGCGGGATGCCGAGGTGGCGTGCAGGCAGCTGGGCTGTGGCCCCGCGCTCTATGCCCTGGGCCAGGCTGCTGCTGGAGAGGGGACGGGCCCCATGTGGCTGATGGAGTGCAGGGGGACGGAGCTGTCTCTGCAGGACTGCTGGGCCCAGCCAGGGGACAGCGGTGCCTGCCAGCATAAGGCAGATGCGGCTGTGCATTGCTCAGGTGAGCAGTGGGGCTGGGAGACATGGCTGGGGGCGTGGCAAGGAGCTGGCTTGGGCATCTGCCCTGATGGATCCTGCTGCTGACCTGAGCAAGGGTGTTCCTGCAGAGTGGGAGGCTGGTGGTGGGTGGGGAGCAGCCTCTGTGGGGCTGGATGTGCCAGCACATCCCCTGGGCTGCCTGCACTGTCCTGTGAGCAGCCCAGAGCAGTGGTGCTGGGCCCTGTCCCTGCCACCCTGCCAGCCCCAGGAGGGACAATTCAGGTGGCACATGTGGGGTCATTGCCAGGGAGGCTGCCTGGTGCCACAGCCCCAGCCTCTCAGCCCAGCTCTCCTTCTGCTCCCCTGCAGCTGCACCCAGGACAGCAACATCCCCCCCACAAGCAGGTAAGCTGTCCTTCCCCTGGGCTGGGTCTGTCCACGACGCTGTGACCCACAGCCAGGGGAAGGGGCTCCTGTTGGGCTGTGAGACTCCCAGGAAATAAGAGCTGGGGAAGTCTGTGATGTACCCAGCAGGGTGGGAGCTGCCCCATCACCCAGCCTGTCCCCCCAGCCCCTGCTGCCTTGTGTGGTCAGGAGTGGCATGTCCTGCCCCAACCTCTCCCTTGTCTGCTGCCCCTGCCATGTTCCTGCCCATGCAGATCCCCCACGGGGCCGTCCGACCACCAGCAGGAGGGACTCTCGTGCCTGTCGTCATCTGCATCATCCTGGGGGCCCTCCTCTGCCTGCTCCTGGCCCTCCTGGCTGGGCAGGTGCGAAGCGCCAGGGCTCGGCGCAGAGGTGGGTCCTTCCCCAGTGGTCCTGGGGGGAGATGCCTCCTGGCAGGCTGGGGGTGTTGGTGTCCTGGGGCACAGAAACAGAGCCGTGTGCTGCCTCCTGCCCCATGTGCTGCCCCACTGACTGACAGACCATGGGGCACCAACATCAAGGGGTGGAGAGAGCCCAGAGCCTGAGGCATCAGTTCTGGGGTGAGAAGAGAAATGTGAGAGCTGGGCTGGGTGAGACGGGGAGGATGCACTGCTGGCAGTGCTCTGGGCAGCTCTGGCAGGAGGAGCATGGGGCAGCGGAGTCCATCACCGTGGTGTCAGCCACCTCCCAGCAGGGCACGGGCTGTGCTATTGCTGTGTGGGGCAGAGATGGAGCAGCTCCATGGGAGGGAAATGAGGGAATTGGTGCAGGGTTGCACTGGGACATGACCCTGGGGGACCAAAGGGGCACAAGGGCTGTCTCCAAATGTGAGGCTGATGCTTGCCCCAGACCATCTCCATGGGGATGCTGCCCTCCCTGGGGATGTGGCCTCAGTGCCAACACAACACAGTGGGGCTGTGCTGTGGGACAGCCCTGTGCTGGCCCCGATAATGGGGCTGGGGGAGCCCAGTGGGTCCTGTCCCTCTCTGCCCATTCCCAGACCAGCCCTGCCTCTGTCCCCAGGCTCCGGGAGAGCTGGGGAGCCCTTCCCTGAGGCCGTGTACGAGGAGATCGCTTACAGCCTGGCGTGGGAGAAGCAGCGAGGTTCAGTCTCTCAGGTGGGTGCAGGTAACCTGCGGGGGCACATCTGCTGTGTCCATTCTCCCTGTCAGACCAGGGCTGTGCCCTGCAGCTCCTGCCCATGGTCCCTGAAATGGTTGGACCATGGGGTCTGTGGGAGAGCATCCAGGTGTTGGCCCCACAGAGGAGCTTCCTCCACACCAGCTCTGCCCATCCCAGAGGGGACAGCCCCTCTCCTGCTCTTCTCCCTGAACCAAGGAACTATTGAAGGGCTTTCCCAGGGCAGTTGGAGTCCCTCTGAGAATTGTCTCTTTCCCAAGGAACTGGTCTCCTCCCCATGCACCCCCAGCTCTGTGGGTGCCCATCCCCAGCAGTGCTGACCACCAGTCAGGGCAGCAGGGCTCATCCCACAGCACCCACTGCAGCTCTCTGCAGCCTCCTTTTCAGAGGGGTCCCTGACCCAGCTGCAGCCCTACCCCAGGCACAAGAGGAGGAGGATGGTCTGGGGCCACACCCAGGGATAAGAGGTGGGGGGGGGAAGAAAGGCTCCATTTCTCCTCCCTGCAGACAGACCAGACAGACAGCAGTGCCACCGAGTGTTATCAACAGAGCTGGAAGCATGAAGGCTCTGCTGTGACCCTGACACCAGCAGCATGTCAGCCCTGTGTCCCCACACACCCTCCCATCCTCTGCTCTGCAGGACATCTCTTCTCATTGCCACCACCTTCCCTCTCCTTTCAGATGTCCCTGTCCTGCCGGAGGTTACCCAGCAGATGGCTATGATGATGCTGGGGAGGTTTCTGACCCTGGGGAGGATCCTGTCCCTGGGCAGGGGACTGGGAAGTGCCCAGGACACCAGAGGAAGGAGATGGGGCAGGGATGCAGCCACAGGTGAGAGGGCAATGCAGCACTGCCACTTCCTAGGTGCCAACCCCAGGCCTAGGAGAATCCATGCCATATTGAAAGCCTGACCATCCATGGAGAACCTGTCCTGGGATATTTTGTGGGGGCTGGGAGAATGGGCCGAGTGTCTCAGGCTGGTGAGACGAGGAAGGTGATAACAGCCCGAAGGGGCACCCCACAGGCCCAACCACAGCAGCCTGCCTTGATGCTTACAGGGGGAAGCCTGCACTCCCGGAGAAGTGCTGGGGTCCCTGGAGCTGATGGAGACACCTCGTCACCTTTCCTGGGGACCACGGCTATGACGATGTTGAAGAGGTGTCTCTGGCATATCCCCATGAGGACACCCAGGATGTGACACCAGAGTCCCATGCACAAGAGTTCCAGAGCCCCAGGCCAGCAGAGCCCAGCCCTGCTGAGCAGCTGGGTGCAGCTGGGAGGGAGGAGAGCTCAGTGCCACTGGGAGAGCCGTGAGTGCCAGGGAATGGTCTCCCTTTTCCAGCAGTCAGCAGACACATGGGTATTTCCCCTCTTGGTATTCCCCTGTTTTTATGCTGTGTGTTGGTATTTCCTCATATTAAAACCTCTGGGGGCTTTGCCCCAGGTCCAGTGCTTCCCTGCCCAGGTGTCAGGGTGTCTCCCTGAGGCTGATGGAGGGGAGAAGAGCTCAAAATCCAGCAGTTGGGAAGGGGCACATCTTAGAGCCAGCAGGATGTGGTCTTGCTGTGGGTTGACAGAGCCCCTGGTCCCTGGACACTATTCCTACTGACAGAAACATTTCTGTCCTGCCAGCCACAGGCAGTTTCCAGACAAAGTGGATCTTGGGAAGCCCCATGAGACACTCCTTGCAGTGCCCACCTCTGCTGCCTTGGGCCCCCATGGAGGCCAAGGATGCCTGCCCAGCACCCATGGGCAGAGATACCTCAGCTGCAAGACTTGAACAGGGAGATGTCTTGGACCCTTGGGCAGGACTTGGCACCAGCTCCTGCTAGTGGGTCCCCACAGCCCTCAAGCTCTTCCCCAACAGGCTCTTCTGCTGCAGGCTGGGAAGTGCTTTTGGTAGTGGGATGGTGGGCTGGAACACCTATTGGAGCATCTATTTAATCCCTTTGGGTCATCTCTCCTGGCTGTGTATAGTCTCCTTTGGGTGAAGAACTGTCTGGAGGGCCATGGAAGCCCAGCGGGTTGTGGTTAATGGAGTTAAGTCCAGTTGGCGTCCCGTTACAAGTGGCATCACCCAGGGGTTGGTACTGGGGCCTATCTTGTTTAATACCTTTATTAATGACCTAGATGAGGGGATTGAGTGTACCCTCAGTAGTTTGCAGACGATGGCCTGAGCAGCCATTCCTGCAGCCTCTGCCCATGCTGCCCACAGCCCCCCAGCTGGTGGTGCTGCTCTGTAGAGCAAGGGGGCTGTGGTGAGTGGAGCCGTGGGGGCACTCTGTAGGGCCGTGTTGGTCAGGCTGGGGAGGCAGAGCCAGCTGGTGGGGGCACTGCACTGACTGCCTCCCACAAATGGTTCCTTGGCCATGGATAGCTGGCACAGATAGGCGGCCTTCTTCAGAGTCAGAGACTCATGGAATACTCCGAGCTGGAAGGGACCCACAAGGGTGACCCACTTCCCATGTCAGATGATGCACAAGTGACCCACTTCCAACGTCAGGATATGTTTTGGGGTGATTCACTGTATTAAATCCATGAAATTTCACCAGAGGTGTAACAAATAACTCAGCAGAGAGCTTTCCCTATGCCTGCTGTGTCCCTGGAGTTGCAGAGCTCTCT